ATGTCGTCCCACAGCAATCTTAAAAGTTGGGTTTGCTTCAAGTAAAGCATGCGGTTCGCTGTACTTTCACTTTTCTCAGCTCACCGCAAGCCAATCGATTTCCCTGGAGTTATGTCTAACAAGTGTCTGGGATTGGCACATCGGGCTCTCAAAACAGCGCGCGGCTGTCGCATTCCTCAGTTGATTCCCGCAAAACCTTTGCGATTCTTCGAACGACAGCAAATCATAGGCTGGCTGCTCACTGCATGACCTAGACCTAAACTAAGCAGGTACAACAGCTCTCGGGACTCACTTAGGACACGTCGAGTCCTGAAGAAGCTGCGATCCCGGTACACACTCGGTGTCGACTGCTGTAAAAACTCTGAAAGACAGGCCCATGAAAGTCGCCTGAGAAGGCTTTCAAATGCCACCTGATACGGCCACTCCGGACCGATCAAAGCCCAAAATCCTATGAGCGCCGGGGCGTGTCAGTCCTCAAACCCGAAAATTCCGCCTCAGAAGTTTGGGAGTTTGCGCAGGCATAGAAATAGGTCCATTCAGCGTAAAGCTAGCCGTCCATGCCTGGAAGGAGTTTGGTGCCCTGGTCTTTGCCGCGACGATGAACGTCCGCCAGGCCAGCTCTTCCATGGTTGCAATATCTGTGCCACTGAAGGAGTACAATGTCTAAGCCTTCGAATAAGCAGAGGTTCAGGTTCAGAGTTCCGGGACTACGGTCCAGAGTTTGTTCCTTTTGCTGTTCATGTATTCAAGCTGCCCTGGGTCATCGATAGCCCAAGGAACAATGAGGTGGGCTTAATCACATTTGCCATTACATGCTCGGCCGCGAGGCTCTAGAATTTAAATCTCGAGGCTTCGCTATGCAAGGCGCCAAAGCCCGCACACCACAGCTGCCTGTTTTGGGGCGCTTCCTAAACTCGCTATGGTCTGAACGCTGCACAAACTTTGACCCTGCAATCCTTAGAGCATCCCCAAACTGGATCCACACAAAAGTGGAGGTTGTGTCCATCCTGGTCTCGTACCTCAAGTGCCTCGGATTGACTTAAGACGTGCGGGCTGACTGCATAACCCTACCAAGACCAATCAGGGGGCACCTAGGCGGGGGCGTTGGGAACGGTTTTGACTGCAGTGCAATGTGCCTCAGAACACATTTGCTCCACAAGATGCGAATGAATCTTCTTGAAAGTAGACAGGGAGTAATTCTCCGTGCAGTGGGGCCGTGCCAGGCCACATGCTTGCTCCGTTGTCTAATTGTTTTGGGTGTTTGTCTGCACCACACGCTTACTTCGGTGCATCACGCACAGGCCACACTTCTGATCTGTCTTGCCTACTCACTCAGGCTACGGGTGCTGTCCACAATTTTTGGCTTTTTTTGCCCGTGGCAGAAGTGTCCCAGCCAGCCCCAGGGGAAGCTACATGGGAGGAAGCGGGCAAACCTTCCTGTTTGACATTTAGGTTGTTGTGCCTTCTTGCTGGTTTCACTTGTATAGCGTGCCCTTGCTGCGCAAGACCCTCTGGATGGCACGGGAGGGGGAGAGAGAGAGAGAGAGTGCCTTACGTACTTGTAGCTGCCTATCATCTATTTGTGTAATCTTCGGGCCCTTGCGGCAGACGTCATGCAGTTAAATATCGATTGGCATGCGTCTTGAAATGGTGCTGTCACCATGTCTTTCAACAAGCTTCATCGTGATGCAAGCAATTACCCAGGGTGGGCTATAACCATTGCCATTGAAGCTGCGACTACCTCCTACTTCTAGCGCCACTACCGCAAAAGGCGGAAGCAAGACAACAACTCCTTCCCAATTTAAGATAAACGCCCAAGGTACCACAACCCAGTGACAGCCCTGCAAGTCCTTGGATTGGCCTGGGGCCCAGTCTAAAGGTCGCCACTAGTACGTTTTGTGGGTCTCGTGCATTCGTTCTGCTTGACGGCGCGACGTGGCATGGGACCCGGTGCAACTGTGACCGCAACTTGGAATTGGACCAATGCTTGGCAGCTGTTCTAAAAGAATCGTGGCACCTTTGGCCATCTTGAGACAAGCAGGTTTTCAGTCCAAAGGTTCAATGTGCCGGAAGGGGCGGGCCTGGGCTGAGGATTGCGGTGATGTGCAGGACGTGAGACAGCCATCTGGATGTGTGCAAACCTTTACCACAGCTTGAATATTCAGCCCATCCGGAAGATTGTGAAGGGACGGGCATTGAAGGCATCATATAAAGCTTATAAAGCGATCTAGGACTGGGGGATGCCTTGTCGAAGGGAAGCCTAGCAGCTTACTGATGAACAACAAGGCGCTAAGCCTCGGAATCCCTCATAGCCCGAATAATTTTTGGTTGCTAAGAAGGTTCTAAATCGGCACAATCCTAGTTGCACAGATAGCAATGTCACTTCGGGTTTGGTGTGCCTCCGTTTTTACAAGGTTTGGCACAGGCCTACAAATAGCCAGCTATTTGTAGTGACAGGCCGTGTGTTCAGGTGCCATAGAGGGCTTCATTTGCCATTCGATTCTCCATTATGGGTGTATCTATAGCCCTAATATACTAAAGTAGTTTCCATTTTATTTTCCAAAAGCCCAATATGACCCTCATATATAACCCCCAAATAAGCATAGCTTCAGCACTTGCCAGCTTGCCATGCCGCGAGCTTCGCAGTCTTTGAACCCCTTGCTCCCGTGCTATGCTTCGGAGCCACGCAAGTTTAGGATGCCTCCAACCTTCAAAGGCACAATGACCGCAGGCCTTAACCCCGAAACCAGAAAGCCCCTGAAGCCTGAAGTCCTGATCTCCTTTAAGCCGCAAATCCCTAAACCTTCCCCAAGGGCCTGATTTTCTCTGCCCTCTTCTACAAATCCGTCGCTGCGATGCTGGAGGCACCTTCCAAGGAGGCGCCGCAATCCAGCTTTGTTCTTGTCATGAAGCTGCAATGTAAGTGGTATTACAGGGTTTGATCATGTTTGATCGATATCAGGTTTTGAGATGAGGGTCATGGAGATTAGCATGTTACTCTACACGTTCAAATGTCGTTCTGGTTGCTGCCTCGCATCACAAGTGGGTTTATCATTGCACTTGTGATTGCTCACGCGTGCTGCTGCTGCTGCTATACTCCGGTAACACACGTTCATTGCACGTGGGTCAACTGTCCTTTAAGGGGGTGGATGTATTCAATGCTGTCTAGGACAGTAGGTTCGTAATCCAGGGGCCAGAGCAAACAGACGAGGTGCGACAAGGTTTTCTGGTTTACCTGCTCCCTCACTTATGGCATTCACATAGACGGCTCAAAAAGGACACTTGTTTTGCAAACTCTCTTTTCTCTGAAACCTTACACCCGAAAGATCACAGAGGCCAAAGCGACAGACAGGCCCACAATTCAGGACTGAGAGGACCATGATGATTTACAAAACCCTGAGGCCCTGAGTCTTGGCACGCCCTTGGAAGATGGGTGGGCCTCGGTCGGAACCCATGAATGCCCAAAAAGCCCTACACGTGAGCAATACGAGGTGCTACGAGGGGCGCATTGCTTATGTAGCCTTAAGGTCGGCCACCTCATGCAAGCAGTGCGCAGCAACCCCTTGGGCCCTTCGGTAAGATTCGCGTAGAACATTGGCGTTGTTGCAAGAGTTGTTTGTGATTCCATTTTCAGGGGGGAGACGCTTGTCCAACAGCATTCGTAGCTGTTTGTGTTTTTTTGAACCAAAGATACCTTCTTGCTCATGCGGACAGTGCGCGTTTTGATTCCTTTGGGTTGGTAGCCTAGTAGCGTTTTGGCCCGTACTTGCCAGAAGCGCATACTATGCAACCATCACTAGTTCTTTTCATCAAACATACAAGGAAGAATGATATTGACAACGCGTAGAAGAAGCCTCTGTCCAGGGTGATTTTCCTTCAACTTCAGGAGACGAAGCCAATCATTGCCAATGCCAAGGCTTGTGCCTTGCATGTCGGTTCTGGGCTTAGGCTACGGCTACAGAACTCAGCGCTCAGGTTAGAATTTAGGGTGCGGGGTTTGGGTCTCCAGCTTAGCATGGACGGATTAGAGTCTGAGGTTCAGGGTTGGTGGTTTAATCCGCGGTGTACATGCAATGTGGATGTGGTCCCTTTTACAGGCATTGCAGCACCAGTATATAGGAATAGCAAGCATACCTTTACAGCAAGTACTTTGGGTTCACGGGGCTGAGGCAGGTGTAAGGCTTGAGCGTGCTTTTGTTGCATCTGCGAAGGTGAACGCTAGGGGGAAGCAACTTACAGCTGAGGGCACTGTGACCTTCATAAGATTAGGTTAACTTATCCTTACAAGTCTTGGTGCTTTCTAGAGTAGGCAGCTGCCAGAAATCTTGTTGTAGCCACGTTTTGGGTTCAGGCTGCCGTTCTTCACCGGTGACACAGCCCAGACTTTGCTTGTCAATTTGCATCCAGGGCCTTTTCGGCGTCTTTGCTTCATGGCCTCCTACCGGTCATGACTGAACCGCCGTAGATCACGTCGCCTTCTCTCTGTCAGGCCGAAGAGGCCGCCGAGACGTCCAAGGACAAGGAGGATGCTGGCAAGGTGGTCTGATTCCTGTATATAGCTGAGTATTAGAGATCTCGAAAGTGCAACTGTAATGAATTCCATACCAACTTCAAGTTTCATTTGTCGCGACTCCTGGAAACATGGCAGTCAAAGACTGCCCAGCCCTGCCGCGACATGCACAGATCTGAGAACCAGGCATCCTGAGCCTGGACAAGTTTAGCTGTCTTCAAAAAGGGTTCCCGCGTTTGCAACACAATGCAACAGGGATCTTAATTGTTGAGGCCCGCAGCACAGGACGCTTGTTCCAGTACATTTCCAGCTTCGCGATCTAGCTTGCCAGGTGAGGTGGGGTAGACACTACTGCTGATTTGCGGCTTGGTAGCGCTTTTAACTTCGAGGTGATGTCAGGCTGAGGGGTTCCGGCCTTTTTTGGGAAGCTTTCACGTAGCCCTGCTGTATGTTCATGCGTTGGGGTACCTATACCTGCGCTGGTTCCGAGGCATTGCTGAGGCCACGGGCATCCCAGCCGACCGCCAGGAGCGCGGTTAGCAGATTTTTTGATATCTAAGCCTCCCATTTCGATTCATGTTTCGGAAATCCGCAACAAATACTGGAGGCACGACTGTATGGCTGGCAAATATCGAGGGCCAGGGCTTTCGGGCGCACCAGACAGCGAGTTGTCCTTGTCGTGCGTCGGCTGACCTCTCAAGCTAGGGATTCCATATTTGGCTGGTGAGCCCGCAAAATGTCAACAGACACTTTTTGCGAAACCTTGGAGCAAAGTTCGGAAAGCTCCTCGTCGCAGTAAGTCTTCCACGATGTCATGCGAAGTTATTATTATTATTGTTATTATTATGGCACCCTCATTCTTGCCCTCCGGCATTCCTCAATCTGTGAAAACTCTGCCTTGATCCTGTTACTATCCTGTTGACGTGTCCAAAAAGGAAGACTCCGCGCTTGAAAGCCTAAAACTCTTCAGCCTCGTCAAGCTGCAGGGACGAACTCTCAACATCCAAGTATCATTGCAAGCCTTATGTGATCCTGTTTTGTTTCCAGATATGACCCAATACGCCGACGAACCACTCCTGATATTGTCACCCCTTTGAGAAGCTCTTTTCTGAAGGAACTTAAGCTGGTCGTGGCCTCAGCCAGTCTAGAGTCTAGGCCTGCGTTTACTGAAGTCTTCCATGAAGATCCGAACAAATTTTCCCCCACAAGCATGAGGGAGCGGGGCCCTACATCAGAAGGAGAGCAGCCAATTTTCTTGAGGGGCTCAGACTGCACTGTTCAGGGGTTTCCGGGTTCAGTTTGGGAGCTTTGGCGTTCGCGAGAGGCCTGGATTCAAACAGACCTTTTTGGTCTAAGCCCAGGTGCAAAAGGATGTAATTCAAGAGTGTTGAGTTTTTGGGAATTCTCCTGACCCTCAGGCAGATAGGCAGATGGAACTTGAGCCTCCCCGAACTGTTCTAAATGTCCCTACTCTCTAAAGAACTAAATCGGTAGACAGTAGAGGGTCGTGCGAGACCTTATCCTGAAAGTCGTGCTTCAGGTAGAGAATGCAGAGCTCCGGGTCTTGAGAAGGACAAAGTGTTGGGGCCTCCCTGAGCAACGTTTTAAAGGTAAACTCCCGTATACGCAATGGCATCATGATTTGACATGCGCGGCCTCTTTGTTTAGTTCGGCAAGTCTCGCAAGTTAATTACAGCTTTGGACAGGGCTCAGATTTGGGCCCAGTGCTCAGGCTGCTCTAGGGAAGAAGGACTTTGGCGCCAGAGAGATGATTCCCGTAAATGGCAGCCCGTGATCGAGATTGCCGAAATATTCCTCACAACTCTCTTCTTAATGCGTTATTACCATGAGCGCACATCCCTATGATTTACAAGGCCCCTTTTGCATGCTCCATTATCCAGGCCGCTGAGCCTTAGATATTCCTATGACCGCCTGATGTGCCTTTCATTGTTCGGGCTCCTGGGCGGAAGTTGTTACCCCATATTTGTCCAGAAGCAACCATGCACATGTCCTTAGCACTCCAAAAGCTGCAGACTTTCAAGTGCCGCAAGGCATCAGCCGAGCTTCTCGGGGAAGGGGATGAGCTGCAGAGCACCTACAAGGCTCCAGCGCCCGGATGGACGAGTCAGGTCAGGGACGTGCAATGTGGATGTCTTCGAAACCTTAGGTCCCTTCTGAGGGGGTTCCTTCTCAAGGTAAATCGGGAGACTGTTTAGTGCAGCACATAGCTTGCTGCTAAGCATGCCGCTTTGCTTCAAGCCCTTTCCTTTCATTTAGGCTTGAGACCCCTACATCAGCCCCGCCAGGTGAAACAAGACTTGTAACTCTTTGACTTCCCTTAGCTTGAAATCCTTGTGGCTCGCGCGGCCAGGGTGGGAGCGTCCAGACGTCTGGGGCTCACTTGCCATATCTTGCAGTGTGGCCATCAGGCCATTATACAGTGTCTGAAAATCAGGAAGCTCGTGCAGATTGAAATTAACTAGCACGGAGCTTGTTTTTAAGGGGGCTAAGCCAGTTGACTCCTCCAGCTCCAGCTTCTGCCGGACAAACGCCATTAAGAATTTTGGGCTCGGGACGTGTTACGGGAATTGAGAGCTCCAAACTGAGGACAACTCTTATTGGGGGCTACGAAAGACCAAGGTCCCTTCGTGAAACCTGACAGTCTTTTTGAACTCTGCCGAGGATCTGGCTGGAAGACTTGCGAACACCAGAGGCGCAGCTGTCAGCATGTGGATGGTAGGAGCTCCATTTTGGGTCCGCGCGTGTGCAAAGGACTCCTTCAGTGGAAATTCCACAAAGGAAACGTTTCACCATGCCGGGAATGAAAACGCCCTCTCCAGCACCTGCCGCCATTAGAACCCCCTGAGCCTGGACATCATGATTCAGGGCGGTCCTCATCTCGCAGGTCTGCGACAGAAAGTGAAAATTCAGGTTATCTGAAGCAGAAGAAGACAATGAGAACATATCTCGGAAGAGCCATCCAGTAATTTCCCACAATATAGTTTCAGCTCATGGCAGCGAAAATGAAAGGGCTTCTGGCAAAGTCCATGGCGAGAGGTCAAGGATATTGATAGGAAGAAGGGATGGTGGTGCTTTGTTGTTCACATTGATGGATTCAAAGTGGTTGAGTTCCATCAAAGGGGAAGCTGGGGGGTTCATATCTTGGTTTGCTTACATGCTCCTTTGGACAGGGGCGCCTAGACAAGGAGCTCAACAAAGCCATGAAGATGTGCACAGTCGCGAGTCATGGCGTAAAGATAGAGGCGCTAGCCGACAACAGCATAATGAGTGTGGCTAATTAATTGCAACAGCAAGCGCAACCCCAAAAGATCTGAACATTCGCAGCTGCACGGTTTTGCAAAATGCCATTTAGCCCACATGTGTCAAGGAGAAGGGCGAGAAAGAGAAGACATTCGTGGATGAGCTTCAGCAGTCCGCGGGCCCAGTCATAATATGTATGGGATTTGCGGCCCTTGTGCTCAAAACCCGGCCACAGTGCAGTCTACGTGTCAGGGCTGCAGAAGATGAAGATCGCGCTGTTGAGAGAGCTTAATTTAAGCTCAGTTCGAAGGACTCCAGCCGCTGTCCCTAAAGGGGTTTCGGAACACGACTGGTCAAGGAGTTACCGGTTTAAGGTTTGCGTTCGCAGGTTATGCTTCAGGTTTCCGGGAGAGAATGAAGCTTTGCAAGACAACCTTTCCAACAGGCGTTATTATGCAAGCCCCATGCAATCCGCAGAACTCAAAACCATGATGCTTAGCTTAGTTGTAATGCTCATGCGGAAAGATAATCAACAAGGGGGCAACCAAGCTGGGGGAACACCAGCCCCCTCATCCCTGTGAACGCTGCCCTGAACTAAGCCCCCACATCAAGAGACACACGCATTTCTGCATGGCAGGGGCTCACTACTGAGGCAACGTGCTAGGCACATGGTGGTCCCGGCATTAAAAAGGATTTAGTCTGAATCATCTTGTCATGATTTGGGAAAGGGGTGATAATCGGCAGCAGCCAGCATAAATCCATGAAAAGCTTACAATACCACCATAGTGAAGGGCCCCCTTTTGTCATCATACTAGACTGTCTTTGACTTTGACCCTTGCCGCCGGGAACTCAAGGCTCTGGAAGCTGGACAACGTAACAGTTGTGAGCCTGGCCCCAAGTTGTCTTCAGGGTTTAGCAGTTTAGCGGAAGTTACCTGAAGTCTCCCAGCAGGTGTTCCCAACTTTCTCCGGTGCCTGTTGCGATCTGTTCCGAGGGTTATTTGGATTCTACTAGAGCTATGGGGAAAAAGTCCGCGCACAAGTTGGATCCCTACTATCTCTTCACAACCCCTTCATATTCCTAGGTGCCTCGACAGTCCTTCTTTTTTTAGCCTCATCTACATTCCAGTGTCCTTGCCGTTGTTACAGTTGTTGTGCTCGCACAGCTCATGTAGGCTTCGGCAAGACTAGGAAGTGTACTGGTGAGACTAATTCTCAAACTTGTCTTTCGTCATTCAAGTTTGTTTAGAGCCCTTCACCCAGAGCAGTTACCTGATGCCTAAAGCCCTCCCCAAAGGCGCCGCGCTGGCCATTTGGACCTTCTTCAAGGCCTGCTGATCTAGCATCAGTTTGTTTTAAGCCCCCAGAATCAATTCTGCAACTGCAACCACTTCCCTTTGAAATAAAACACGTTATGTGTTCCTCAAATGGTAAAAGACTGACACGATACACAAATTGGAGCAGGTGTCAGTGTGAGGAGGCCAGGGGTTACCCATGAAGCTCAATGAAGTGCTACGCCCTTGTCCCTGTCCTGTTCCCTTGAGCCTTGTCCCTAACACCCAAGCCCTGAGCCCCTTATGACAAACGTGTTGCTTTCGAGGAGCTGCTGCCGCTCTTCACAGAGGGCGTGAAGAATCCTCTGCAGGAAAGGGATTTAGGGATGCGGAGCTGACCGCTCTTAGCACTTGCAGGCAGTGGGTCTTTGACAGGTGTGTAGGGAAACAGGAGATTTTAAGGGTCTGCAGTTTGAGATCAATGTAAGGTTCAGAGATGCCTCAGGGTCTGGGGATGCAGGGTTTCGCTGGAGGAGTGTGCCCACTTGATCATCTTTGACCAGGTGGTGAAACATAATCACTTATATTTGAGGTGCTTGAGCAACGCCCGGCTTCAGGACTTACCTTGGCAGCCTGGCAACGGCCCGAGGAGGGATGCGAACTCAAAGCCGTCCCATGAGGTATCTGAGGGCTGTGTGCACCGTGGAGCTACCTAGAGGGCCTTCAGACGTGTTGAAACGAGGAAAGTGGGCTGGTTCTAGGGTAGGCCTGGTATCTAGGACTTGTGGTCAGAGATTTTTTCCTGAGGTTTGAGAATGAGGGCTGGAAAATAGAGATGCGCCGTAGTATAAAGCTCTCATTCATCCTAGGCGCACACTCCGGTTTAGAATCACTGTCAGCCTCAGTTTTTTTAATTGGAAACGTCAGGAGGCACCAAGCCCAGAGCCCACCTGGCGCTGAAACGTCGTCAACTGCGATGTCTTGCAATGGCAGTGGTGCAGTTCGAGGATCCAGCTTGTGTTTCGGAATCACACATAGTGTTGCCCGTACGAGCTGTGGACGGGGCTCAAAAACTTGCAGTTGTAACACGGCGCTCCCAAAAGAAAGCGCCGAGAATCAGAGTCAAGTTAAAACTTTCAATCTAAGTCAGTGAGGCCGCAGAGGTCACACAGGGCAAGTGGCCCAAGAGCAGCCAGCAGAGGGAGATGATCACCTGTGAATGTCAGTTTCGATTGCTGCCCTAAGCCCCACACAACACTTGTCTGAGACCCAGTTCAGCATGTTTACGCGTGAGTTTGACCGTGTCTTTGGCTTCAATTTCCACAACCCCGCTGAAAAGAAGGGCGCGATCAGCGCCGAGTGGGGGCGTGCCGACGATTGCAGACGATACGGTCTCCTCTGCCAGTGTCCGTTAAAAATCTGTTCATACCCACCAGGACGGGAGTCACCCTACCAACAGAATTCCCTCGTATGGAATTCATAGGATTTCCCCTCCGGTTTTTTCGCAGATGGTGCCCAGTTGGCCCTGCATTTAGATACTGTTGGCACCCGACGGCTTGGAAGCACATCAGGTCAGGCCCCAGCTAGGAGCGTGAATTTGTGAGGTCCAGACCTGCCTAACACTCAACTAGCTGGATGCTCCCTCCCCAAGCTCTAGCTACCAGCTGCTCTCAGGTCCCATCGACCAGTTCCCACCATCTGCTTTCTGAGAAGACGACTGCCTGCTCACTTCGCTCGTTCCTAGGAACCTGAAGGTTCAGCTAAACTGCGCTGGCAGAGTCAGAGCAGAGTTGCAACAAGAGCGGTGTGCTGTCCTTTAAAAACTCAGCACCCCAATGTGCATGCAAGACTACAAATTTTCGCAGCGAGGCACTGCAGCAGTTTTCGTGGAAAGAAGTGTGAGCACCTTGGAACTGGCAGCCCTTGTTGAACGACGAAATTCAAATGCCCTCAGTCTGCACCGCATAAATGCTCGTTCATTGCTAGAGCTGTTAGTTACTGTGCGATGGTTGATGGTCTGTGTTGTCATAATGGGTTTGTGAACGTCTCTGCTAATCATCACTCCAAGGCCTCCGTCGCGTTGAGCCCATCACTGTTGCAGCCTCTGGTGTGTCGAAATCCGTGCACTTGTTCATCTGGCTAAAGTGCGCAGTAAGAACTTTGAATCAATGCTCAAAGCGTCTTCACAGCATAGGAGTTACTCAGGCCAACATGCTGTGGTGCACATACGTGTAGATGCATCGATGTATCTGCAAAGGCAATTTTGGTTCAAAAGCCACCCGAGCGAAACGAGACACGTCTTGCTTTTGTGCGCGTTGGGCGCTTGTGAACGATGCCTCTTGGGCTAGTCCAGAAAGTCTGCTTGCCAGGCATTACTACGGCATACTGGGAATGCCCACCGCGAGGGGCACCATAGGATCTCAATCAATGGGCCTACATCAATATCAAGCTTCGTAGCGGCGTCGGACCGTACATTGGAGGGAATGTCCCATACTACAAACTCAAGCAAGCATGCAGTAACATGTCATGTGCCGCGTCCTGCGACCACACGGGTAACTTTTCTTCGGAAGTCCGCACACGCAGCTGAGGATTATGAGGATTGTGCGGGTGCTTGCCCCTGTCGTGCTGGCAACGGCTTCAGAGTCTCTGCCAGGCAATGCGACTGCGGGTTTCTCGGCAGGCAACTACCTCTTTCACACAGGTGCTGGTGTCTCCAAGAGGCATTTCAACAGTGGGGAGCAGCAGCAGAACTACAGCACCATATGATCCACGTAGCTGGCATGTGCGTGAAGTTGCTCGTCATCAGGATGCGTCTTCTTCTGTAGGCACGAAAAGGGAATCTAGGATTTTCCAACTTACCTGGGGCCCCTTGTTTCTACGCGTTTTGGGATTCTGGCTGCAGGGCTTGGAAGTGATACAGGCTCCTCATCGCCAGCCAACTCCACGCAGCAAGTTGCTCCAGGCGGGTAGCTGTCCAACAGGGACTTCTGAAGGTGAAGGGATTTTGTTTGCTTCGCATTAATAATCCCCCCCTGGATTGATCTATCCTCGATCTGCGGGAGCCCCGGAATGATAATGCCAAAATGGAGGTTCGAAAATCTATTTTCAGTCCATTAAAATCCAATTAAGATTGTTGCCCCAAAGATTAGTATTTTCAGGATTTTATGTGGACCTTCTTAGATTGTGTTCCGGCTAAATGTGGGCCTAGTCCTTAACTTAATGTCAGGCTAACATTAGTACAGAGCTTTGAGCGATGTCCCTTGTAGAATTCGGAAAGCGGACTCCTTCAGCCCGCTTAGAATCACAAAGAATCATAGAATCCTGAGGTATAAGCACTTTGGATGGATCCCTTAGCGGAGCCTTCTGTTGGAGAGACGCATAGCTTCATGACTGTTAGTTCGTGCAGGTGGTGAGGAGCGACTCCTTAAAGGATAGCAATAATCCTAATGGCTGAAATCACAGAAAGTTGTCATGATGACATCCGATATTTGCGTGGGTTGCAGATACACGAGGGGGAGGGCTTCTTAGAGGAGACCCTTTCTGTGTCCCGGGTTAATGTCTAAACGTGTCGGTTTGGCCCGTGATTTCAGAGCCCGGGGGCAACCCGTTGTTTTTGCTGTTTGGTCTTTTTTGTTGTTGGGCCCGTTAAAGCCGAGCCAGGCAGACCGGTAAGTGAGCAAAACCACCCAAACAGTAAAAAATACACACACCCACCGCCCAAACAGCAAAACAAAAAATCCCGCCCACTCCCCGGCCTGCCCAGACAGCAAAAACAGAACACCGGCTTCTCACCGGCCCGTCCAAACAGCCAAACAAAAACACGCCCTCTCCCCGGCCCGCCCAAACAG